CTTTCTCATTGTGTTTTTTTCCTCACACAAACACTGTTAAAATGGCAACCACAAAAGCAGCTTTCAATTAAACACATTTTCCAGCATGTAACGATTTTTGTGCAGCAATGTCTTTTTTTCATGTGTTTCATATATGCTACTGTTCTTGACTGAATGAAACTTGAATTTTTTACTGCGCTTTGGGCAGCATGCAGAAAGTGAAAGCAGCGTGGGTTGAATTGCGCATTTTGTATTATGTCCTTAGATTGTGATTGATGTGAAAGTGATTTTTTTTAAGGTGTAGGATCACTTAATCCACATTTGAGATGTTTGGCTAAACGATCAAGGACATCTACGGTATTTTGCTTTTAATCACTGTTGAGCAGTGACGAGAATTGAGTTTGTAAAGTTAGTGAATGTTGACATCTGTTTTGAAGATGTTCGATACGGTATATTTGAATAGTAAAAACTTGAAATGTTATTTGGCTCGGAGCGCATTCTGTCGTTCATCCGGGGTTTGACGAGACCACCTTGAGTAGGCAAGTCCAGCTCCGATCCGCAAGAGCCGACCTCTTGCCCGTTTTCCCATCTCTCCCTGTTGCAACACACCTGATTCCAATGTTCAGCTCATCAGCAAAGCTCTGAAGAAGCTTGATCATGATCCTGATCATTTCAGTCATGTCATGGCAGCGGGGAGAGATGGAGAACAGTCACGACAGCTCACTCCGAGGACCGAGTTTGGACACCCCTGACTCTGAGACCACTTTTTGGTACGTTATCAAATGAAGCTACTCTGGATAAAAGTCAGATGTATTTTGATGTTCCCATATAGGGCAGCTTAAGGTCCAAGAAAACACGCTTGCTCGGTCGGTTACAGCTGGAGAGGAAACAAACTCCATACTCATACTTTGCTCAAATATTAAATTTTATTCAGATAGTTCATTGACAAGAACGGTGACATTTTTTTCCATTAGATAAAATATATTTCTCCAATTCTTTGGTGTTTGTAAATCGTCTCTGTAAAAAATATTCCAAAATTTGTGTAAAAGCTTGCTGAGCTGCAAAAATAGTGATAGCACCAGCTTACACGTATACAGTGCCTATCCCATCGCCTGATACAGGCTGCTGTTGGAGCGTTAGTAGAAGCTTTTCCAAAAGCATCGCAGTGTGCAATTTGCCAGCTGCCCCCCCAGCAAAGGCATCGCAGTGTGCAATTTGCCAGCGCCCCCCCAAGTTAACTTTAACCCTTCAAGATGAAAGATGCGTCTTCACCGATCACTCCATGTCGGAGGTCTGCGCACATCCGCTAACCTCCGGCTGACATGAAAGGATCAAATGTAGCAGAGCTGGAAAGATTTTACACACAGCCCATGAAACCTGAAATCTCGCAAATTGTCGAAAAATATTTTCTTGTATTTATAGTAGAAGAATAGTTTCAAAGAAGCTCAACGTGCAGGCCCATGAGAAAAATATCATACAAAGAGAAATATAAGGGGTTGGGAATGTAGAATATACTTTGAGATATCAACAAGGGGAAAACTACAACTTCAATTTCATGACAGTGAGTGGCCTCAGAAAATTCATTGACCAGTGTTGTACAAATTTTCACAATCAAACAACGTAACATTCATCAACGCTCCCAAATGCGTGCGATCAGTAAATCTGCAGGTACGCCGATGTGGCTCCGTCCTTCCACTTGTACACTTTTTCCGTGATCACGGTGGGGCAGAGGGGGCAGCTCTTCTCCCGGTTGAACCACAGAGCGATGCACTGGTCACAGATTATGTGCTGTGCAGTCACAGACACAGCGGTACAATTTATTACACATCTCCACGTCGGGGCTGTCAAAAATCAAACGGGAATCAACTTTTCCGCGTCTTATCGTAACAGTACGTTCCATCTCGTGATGCTCGTCATGTGGTGCAATAAATGCCAGAGTGGGAAACATTGCTGGCATTGAACTCTGGGGGTAACCTGGATTCAAATCCCAGTTGTTAAAATCCATCCGCCCCCAGAGCCTTAATATCTCCGTCTAAGTAAAGGATAGAATTGACAAATGTTTTACCTGACAGATGAGAGATTGAGGCTCCCTGTATTCTCCTTGGCAGATGGGACACACGTCACCGGCTTCCATGCACTGACTCCTCGTGGCCGCCGTCCCTGTATGCTGAAAGGCAAGAAAAACACCCCGGTTAGGACAAGCAGCATTTCAGGTGAGTGGTCGGACTTAAAAAAAAAAAAAAAAAAATTACAAAATGAGGAATAATTCATTTTGGGTGAATCAAAACGTCATCAAACTGACCTCGCTCTTAAGAACAATCCTCACAGTTTTCAGTAAAGACTTGCACTGTCCGTACAATCCCAAAAGCTGCAAGAGTACGAGTAAATAGTTTTGAGAAAATGTTTGGTAGTCATTTGATTTTTGAGAAGCGTCGTACCTTCAGTATGAGGTAGAGCAGAGCCAGCAAAACGCCCACAGTGAGCGCCGGGTTACCGTCGGCTTCCTGGTAGGTGACCAGGTAGCGGAACCAGAGCGGCACGGGGGCGGCGGCCTGGTAGACCTGAGCCAGCTCCTCGCTCAGCAGCAGCCAGCGTCCCTGCGCACACAATCGCCGCGTTACTAGACCGTTGAGACAAGTCAAGAGTTTTAGAGTACGATCGTTATCTCGTGGCGCACGTCAACAACTACACTCCTGCGGTGCTGCAACGGGAATATTTCAGTCGGAACTCGCGTTGGGTGCATCGGGTAAATTATGGCGACTCGCACAAACACGCCCTTCAATTCGTTTAATTTCTGCAGGACAAAGGGAACATTTTAGGGATCAGTCCTTCAAAAGTTGATGACAGAATCTTTAAAATAAATATCCACGCTGAGCCTTGATGGAAACAGCAAGATATAATTCCATCCATTTTCGATAGCACTTGTCCTCTTCAAGATTGTTACAGTTCACGAACAACACTGAAATAACAGCTAAAATCAAAATTTAATAACAATGGAACCTAACCAAACTACACTTTATATTTATAAAACATTTTTCCAGTATTTTTTTTTTTTAACAGCGATACAAGTAAACTTTAATTTTTTGCTCGAATATTCCAAATCAGTCTTCATTTTTTTCTCGAGCACATCAGGTTGCATAATAAAATGTGATGCAGTAATATTTATAAATTAAGGGTTTGGTTCAGCAACAGGAGGAATTTTATTTTTTTTAATGAAACATAGCAACAAATTACATCGCATGGTAAAATCCATATTGCTTAAGCTTTCATAGGTTAAACTTAAAAGCAAAAAATAAATATAAAAAAAATGACATGGGGGGAGACCTTTTTGAAATAGTGTCAAAAATACCTTTTGGGACACAAAGCCATCTGTGATAAATTTGCATTCGACCACTAATTTTAGCAAAAATGTCTTTCGTGAACTGTTGGGGTTCATTTTAAATGTATTTATTTTGAGATTACTGTACAGCCATACATTAAGAATGACGGTCGAACAGCTGTTTGAAAATTCAAGTTGACCTTACTTTATCATGCAATACTAAACTTAAAAAAAAAGAAAAAAATAATAAATTAGGTCACTAACCCACTCAAAAAAATAAGTAAAAAAAAAAAAAAAAAACCTAACAAAAAAATTGCAGGTGAACTGGACCTATCCCAGCTGACTTTGTACGAGAGGTCATCAGCCAAATCGCACCCAATGTGACATTTTCCAAACCCAGTCACTTGCTCTCACCTGTGCTCGATAGTTGAGCAACGAAGCGGGCAGCAGCAGGAGAAGGCACTTGATCCCCATACAGAGGAATTTGATGATGAAGTTGGTGATGCCAACTGCCCACAGGACCTCCCAGAATCCCAGTGGCTCAAAAGTTGGACTGAGGAACACAAGGCTGGGGGGGGTGAAGAATTAATTAGGGTCCAAAACATACTTAACTTGCGTAAACGCTTGCTCGTTTTTAAAACCCGAGCGTGTGCCGCTCCTATGGGACGTTACCAGTTGTAAAGTGTCTGAGGGAGAAAAGTGTAGCTGAGCAGGAGGGTGGAGGAGACCAACAGCAGCAGCAGCCACACACAATGCAACTTGGCGTGGCAAGCCTGGGGGGGGAGACACACACGCACAGTCCAAACGCTTTAGAGGACAATGATTCTCAAAAGCACTGCTTTCCTAATCGCTCTTTTTTGTAACTATCCGGCTCCTACCTGAAGAAATACTTGGGTTTGGATGCTTTGATTGACATCGAGAAACGTTGTGAAGAGGCCCACGCCAACTGCAAGCCCTTTGAGAAAGAGAAGTCGTTACATAAGCCGATTGGATAGAAACAGCTGGTCACCATAGAGCGGGATTTTCACAGCACGGTTCAAGTGGCACTATTGAGAAATCTGGCATGGCAGCGCAAAAAAGAAAAAAAAAAACGCACGGGGTCAGATATATTTAGACTAGAATCAGGCCTCTTCCAAATGTAGATACAAACCAGATGCGTATCAGATATCTGCCAATGCGAGTGAAATACAAACGCGGAGGGGCATTTACACCGTTCATGTGAACTTGGCGTCATCGAAAGTGAAATTGGAGACAGATGGGCGTCTGCTCCCAAAAACACAAATAAATGAAAAACTGCAGAACAATGAAATGGGATAAATGGTAGAAGTGGGTCGATCATTACATAAGCTAAATAATTGGACCTCATTCAAATCAATGGCAAGAACGAGTCAGCCCAGGGCCAACTATACACTTTGCATTTGTATTAACTATGTACAGTATTATTGTTTACTTCCGTGTTGCTGTCACTACCTACTATTTGACGCTTGGGGAGGTGGTGCAATTTGAGCATCAGCTCAAATTAAATTGGTCTTGTACAGTTGGTGCTGCAGAGTACAGCCTGTGAGTCTGTTTACACTCACCTAGCGCATGCTGGAGGACCAGCTTAGCGCTCAATATGATGAGAAAAGGAAGACTCTTTTGGAACCAGCGAAACAGGCAGCGTAGCTCCGAAAGCGAGGTAGTGGGCTCTCCGGAGTCCAGGTCTGCGGAGTCTGTCGGGTCGGCATCGGAGGTGGGGTGTCGCTGCCCGCGAGTGTGTCCGTGAGAATGAGAGTGGCTGTGAGGGTTGATTCTGGACCTCCTGGCCGAGGCGGCTCCGCCGGATTCACCCGGCGCGCCGCCGCTCAGGGATACGCGCACCTCATTGGCGTCGGAATGGATGGTGCCTGCGGCACCGGAGGGTGTCGTCCTGCTGGGAAGCTCTGCTTGCAGAGTAAGGGACAAACCATTTCTCAAATGAGTGCCTTCCTGGCTGGAATTAGGCTGCATGACAGTAGGGGACTCCCTCACTTTCACAGCTCTTCTGGACACAAAAGGGAAACCTTTTTAGATTTTACATTGAGTCCTAGCATTCGCACATTATTAGTTTTTTTCCCTCTCTGATTGTTTTAATGATCACAATAAGTGAAACCATGTTTACATTTCAATTAATTATCCAGGCAAATTACAAACCCTAGGCTCCACCCCCGGTTATCATGCTAATGTAAGCGGTCGTCTCCTAGGCACAGCAGTCAATGGAGCATGGACTACCTCACTTGCATGAGAGCGCCTCAACAAAACTGACTGATTTCAGCAATTCAAGAGAAGGGTGGATAAAGTGTGCAATGATTCTTGGGGTTTTTTTTTTGTGGTGTTGTTTTTTTTTGGGGGGGTGGCCACAATTGTCAGGCGTGACGGAATATGTAGTCTTTAAAGACCAAGGAATTATAATAGTGGCCTCGTTCTATTATAATTATGAAAGAATGTCTTGAAACAGAATATTGTACGTTTAAAAGCAGCCATATTGTCTCACATGAGATTAACAGTCGCACATAATCTGGCTACTTTAAACTGAGCTCCTATTTGAACTTCAGGCACCATAATGCCTGCTCGTCTTCCAACACAAGTTATGAAGACTCGTAATTACTTTTTATTCAGGGAAAATAACAACACAAGAGTTCGAGAGCTGGCGACAGTGAAATGTCATTAGCAGTAGCGCGCAGATGTTTTGTGAAAAGCTACGATTGCATTCACTTACCTGTCATTCTGCAACCGGAGTTTCATGGTAATCTTTTAGTGGCCATTTAATCAAATCGACCAAAACGCCAAACGAAACAAAAGCAAAAAGAAATGCACTAAAGATGTTGACTTTCTAGCTCAGCTATAAACCTACGGTTGACGTCACAGCAAGCTTCCTCTGTGTTGTTTTGTTGTCAAACGCCGCATTACCGCCATCTAGCGTTCATTTGTTGACCTGCAATGTGCTGAAATTTCAAACGTGACACTCTTTAAGCAAATGATAACCCGATGGTTTTGAAAGTCTTTGTTTTACTTTTGTTTGAACATAGTTTGTTGTAGATGTAAAAACGAGAGAAATGATGGTTAAGATGGTTTCTCATTGAACGGGAAGAACTCAGAGACAAGTTAAACAGGTTCAACCCGTTCTTTGTTGCAAATTTTGATTCATCCAGTTCTCTAATCGTAGTTCATTCAGTAATGCTCAACCACCAAATTGTTTTCTGAGTGACGTTGAAGGAAAAAAAAATAGTCCTTTGTGTTGTGTAAACTATCCCAGCGTTTCCATTTTTTTGTGTTGTACAAATAGGTTTTATTAAAATATTACTCAATACAAAAATATAGAACCAGTGTATTTTAAGTCCATCCATTATCTGATCCGCTTGTCCTTACGAGGGTCACGGGCGTGCTGGAGCCTGTCCCAGCTGGCCGGGTACACCCAGAACTGCCAGCCAATCGCAGAACATACATAGACAAACAACCATTTACACTTGCAATCGCACTTATGAACAATTAAATAAAGTGATCAATTAACCTGCCGTGCAGGTTTTTGGAATGTGGGAGCAAATAGGACTACCCGCAGAATACCTACACAGGCATAAAGAGAAATCGACACAGGAAGGCCGGGGCCTGGAATCAAACTCATGACCTCTGCACGTGCTAACCAGTCGATCACTGTGTCAATGTATAACAAAAAAATAAAATGATGTCATAAAAAATTTGGAAAGTTGCACTTATATACAGTCTATCCGGAAAGTATTTATTGTGCTTAATTCACTTCCCCCACATTTGATTTTAACGCTTTGTTCTAAAATGGAATTTTAATGCAAATGTGTAAGTATAAATAATAATAGAAAGCGAAGAGACTATAATATATTTCTAGCCTTTGCTTTTTTTTTTTTTTTTTTTTTTTTTTAATAGTTACATTTGGCAAAAATGACAGCTTGTCATAATGTCGGTCTTGCACGTCGATTTTTTGAGTGGGGGAAAAAATGATTCCAGTTTAGAAAAAGGAACAAACTTACCCGTTTTCCAAGTGTGTACCGTCTGTAAACGACGTTTTAAAGCCTGTTTCCAAGTTCGTTGAAAAGGATTTTCATCATCCAGCAGGTGGCGCCTTATGATAACGTCAGGAAAGCAGCTCGCCAAATGGAATTGATCTATCTTCAATCTCCGATGCTAAAACGAAACATGAGCACTTATGAAGGCCTATTACGTCATCATGCATGTAGGATGAAAGCTGACCTTTTTTTTTTTGTCCCATTGTAATTTGGTGCTAATTGGCGCTCACAAATGAGGTGAATTCGTGCCAACAACATTGCTGGCGATAATGATGGAAAAGTGAAGTAACACCCTCAGAGTACACAGTTGGTAAACATTTCATTTCAAAACGAACATTTGCCTGACTTCATGTTCAGGGCCCGAAGCCATATAAACCGGTTTGTTGCCAGTCCAAAGGCAAGTTGAGTTGTCCTCCTTTTCTCTTTCATTTCAACAGAAGTGATTCAGAGAGAAGAAAAGAAAAACGCCTCTTCTCACTTGTTGTTCATGCGATCAGTGTTTACAGGCTGGATTGAAGTTATTTTATTCGTTAGGACGTTCCCTTTCTCCTTACTCTCCTATCACCGCTCATATCCTGTTCCTCAACTTAAAGCTCATGACCCGAAACATTGATTTCACTGTCACAATGTCAAATGCGTGCCTTCGGGGAGTGAATTCAATATTTTGGGATAATGGCTTCCAATAGCGACACAGTTTAAGGATATAAAGCCCTTTAATATTCTGTTCTCTGCCGGAGCTGCTTTTGTTCCCTCCTGCGCTGGTCAAACGCCACAAGCCAGTGCTGCTGGGCCATTCCTAATAAATCCCGAGCACAGGGTTGCAGTGACAGCAGCAGGCCTGTATTATTCAGGAGCTAGCACTTCCCTGAGTTGCAGCAACAGTTGGCCTGGCTGGGTGGGAGTGGAAGAGAGCAAGTGAGGGCTCCCCGATGACATGGAGCCTGATGTACTTGTAAAAAAAAAAAAAAATACCATAAATGTTAAAAGTGAATTCTCTCGCGTTCCCTTAAAACTTGGCTGTATTGATGTAGAGGCAGATCTTGGCAAAAACAGGACATTACCTGCCCCGCTTTTAAGGACATTCGGCTCCGTCTGAGAAAGCAGAGGAAAGGAAATGCCTTGCAGATGTGCACGCCGATGCGTTCATGCATCAGCCAAGGGCTTTTTGTTAGCTGACATTTATTTGTTCGTTTGTTTTTTGTGTGCGTGCCACTAGTTAATTGTCAAAGTGATTTAAAGGGGTGCTTATGTCCTAAATAGGAAAGGGTTTTGTGCGATTAAATGGCTGACACATGTCTGTGTGCAGGGCTGGGAGGAGTGGGGGGGAGACCACGAATGGATTCCTCGCTGCTGCTCTCCCCTTTCAATTGATTGCTTTAATTTAGCTCATAATGATTAGAATGCCCCCTGCCTGCAATTAGCACGCGCGCGTGTGTACGCGCGTGTACTGGTGGTCCGTGTTTAATTACAGCAGCACACGAATATTGCTCAGCCCAGCGGGAGGCTGCAGAAATGGGAGCATCCGCAACTGTGCTTGGCATCTGACAGCACGCTACCGTGTGTTTATCAGTGCCAAGACTTAACCGAATACCTTCCTACGTCCGGGGCGCTCTGCAGTGTTTTCACCTTATCGCTCTGGACTTTACTGTTTGACCTTGCGCGTTGAGCTCTTAAGCGGGGTCTGCAGTTTGTCAGGTGGAATGCACAGTACATTTTGAAATAAAATGTAGCAGACAGCAAATGCTTGGTTAAAGGTTGAACAAAATGAAAAAGGTAGCCTGAATCGGTCAGGCCAGACAAGTAAGAAAAAAAAAATCGACACGACCACGGGAGCCGAGCATAAAATGATTTTTTTGTGAGCCCCATTGTATCCTCTCTACTCAATAGCATTTTAAAAGGCAAACAATAACAACATGATCATTTTTCAATTTATCTGCTAGTGTAGAAAACATATTTAATGAACTGGCTTATCTGTTTGTTTGAGATCACTGGGCATCATTAAGAAGGTTGAACTCAAAGTTGCTGTATCATTAGTGGAGTCAATGTGGGGATGCGTTGGATTTGGAGGTGGCTTTTTGTCAGGAAACAAATCGGTTGTGTTTAATTCCTGTTGAAAATGTGTGCGTTAGTAAAAGCATTGTAGAACCAATTGATCATTTTTAATTGAATAACCAAAATGTGTTGCTCAAGAAAGCAGTTTTTGCCAGATGGTGCTGGTTAAAAGTGGAGACACCTTTAGTAGTCTTCATTTTTAAACAATAGACTGAATATGAAAACATGATACATTCCTGCCTTTATTTCACAGATATTGCAATCTGGATCTGATACACAACAGGCTAGAATGCTTTACCATCCCCCCCACCACCACCTGACGAAAAGTACTGGAACATGAGAGAGAGAGACTTTGCCACCACCGTTTGGAATGTCATGAAGAGGCCCATTAGTTACATGGGGGGTGGGGGGGGGGCATGGTGTGTTGAAATGACTCAATTTTATTTTGTCAAGTGGCTGCACACAATAGAATCATCTGGATTTAGATGCATTTTTATAGTTGACTTAAAAAAAATACTCTGGTTATGTATACATAATATTGTCCTGAAAAAAAAACGCAATAAGTAGACCATATAAAAACCTTCACGACACTGATATCAAAATATCCAGATAGTGAGCGACCAGAATAATCTGTTTTCGATCGAAACACATTTCCCTGTTGCCCTTATTCATCTTTGTGTTTGCGTTTAGTCCCATCGTGCTTGCTCATCAGCAAAAACAGCTTGGGCGTCTCCTCTTTGAGGATGAGAGTAGCGGCGGCAGCAGCTCCCTTGGGGCACGGTGGCGGTGGCGATGGTTGATGCTGCTGCTCTCCCGTCTGTGGAGAATGCAAATGAGGCTGTGCTCTGTCTGATATACACTCTCGGTATACCCGGTGTGCGGGTGTGCGTTGTGCATCCCTCCCTCACACTCTCTCCTACACGGTTCCCATCTATCCCAAGGTCCTGCGAGGTGCGCGGCATCCTCCAACCTTTGCTTTAAATCATGATAACAAGGTACATTTAACACCCAGCTGTCAAGCCAGTGCAGCAAGAAAGTGGCTTTATTGCCGTATTGGCCTGCAAGTGACTTTGGGGAACATCCCTGTTCCTAATCTGAATGAAAATGAGTGTTTCACATCACCCTTCTAGATAATACTGTACCTTATTATTATTTTTTTTTTTGGCATATCAATCGTGACACTTTCCACTCAGCAAAAGTCCAAGAACCATTCATTCATTCATTCATTCATTCATTTTCCGATCCGCTTTATCCTCACAAGGGTTGCGGTGGGAGCTGGAGGCGATCCACCTGTCTTCGGGCAGTAGGCGGGGGACACCCTGAACTGGTTGCCAACCAATCGCAGGGCACACAGAGACGAACATCCATCCGCGCTCACACTCACAACTAGGGACAATTTTGAGTGTTCAATCAGCCTGCCATGAATGTTTTAGAATGTGGGAGGAAACCGGAGTACCCGGAGAAAACCCACACAGGCCCGGGTAGAACATGCAAACTCCACACAGGGAGGCCGGAGCTGGAATTCAACCCGGTACCCATGCACTGTGAGGTCGAATAGCTAACCACTGGATCACCGGGCCGCCGTCCAAGAACCAAAACATCGATTAAAGTTTGTAAAGAGTTGAACGGCAAACCACAAAGATAAGTGGGAAAAAAACTAAATACATTAAAAAAAAAACTTTGTTTACACATCATTATTAATTGAATATGTTGTTCAAAAAGCTCCCGTCCCACTGGGCCTAACCTCCACCTCAACTTGATAATCTTCGGCGCTAATTTGTAAAGCAGGATCCTTAATGACGCTGTGTGTTTGATCACTCTAAAGCTCCTTCACGAGGAGGATGGATACAATTTGTTTTCCCCAGTCATAAAGCAGATAATCTTGTGTTGATTGCCAAAAGCTAATTA